ATGACGGAACTTACTATTGAGAGGCCGACAGTAGGCATTCCGTCGTGATGATTGGATTACAGGGCAAGAACGACGGAGCTTCCTATTGAACGGCTTTAGGAGCCCTGTACAGGCACGCTGATGCACATCAATGATGCGCAAGTCCACTGCAAGTTTTCCGGGACTGAATCATTTAGTTGGGCTTGTGGGTTGGGTGTGCTGGGAAGAGAAAGGTTTATTTAGAGAGCAGAGTCGAAAAACGTAAGATACAGGTCAGATCAGATAGCATGTCCCATCCGGCTCTCGAGCTGACATATGTGCTTTGGCATCGGTGCCGATCTGCACAAGTTCTGAAGATTTCTGAAAATTTACAAAAGACTATCACGACCCTTGAGCAGAGCTGGTCTAAAAGTGTTGCGCGGCGCTCTACAAAATTCTGAGACGGTGTTGTAAATCTTTCGGTCATCGGACCTTGGTATTCCCTGGGACCTTGATGGCGTGCCATCTCAAAGGCAAGCTGTGCGGGCAAAGATAAGCAGTGGGAGATTCTTCCAACATGAACGCACGCAGCTAAACTAAACCTGACAGGACATGAAGAAAAGGCATAGAAGGCTGGATGCTGAACACCTTGAAGTCGGAATCCATTGTGATTCTGGCTATTCGCTCGCCACTTTGATCTCTTTGGTTTAGGTATGGGACCTCATCATCAGCAGGGACGATGGTCTTCATCGGCATCCCGCTGTGCAGATCCAGTAACAGGGTAAGGACGACGGAACTCAGCATTGGGAGGCTTGAGGTGTGGGAAAGTGGCTGATGGCAGCAGGTGCCAGGATCTACAGACTTCAAATCGTAGACCTGCTTGGCACCGGCACTAGTCACCCGAGCCGTTACCAGGGAGTGCGCGGTGCTCAGGTGCACCCAACAAATCCTCAAAAAGTATTTGAAGTGTCAGCCTTGCAGCCTCAGGTACAGAAACAGGATGTTTGCACGCATATCTGTGATATCATCTTCGGAGGCAAACATCTAGCAGCCAGTTGCTTTAATTCCCTTGATGCTTGGAAGTGCTCAGATAGTTGAAGGTAGAGGAAGACCATGCCGTAAACTTGACAGTTCAGAGCTCCACACAGTCAAATGCAGAGGGACTATTCGGGCACGGTTGAACAGTTCATCAGCTCAAATATTGGGTTTCCTGTTGAGTCTCATCTTGCTCGCATGTATCTGACATGGGCGTCATCCTTCGTTGAATGCGCCTGGGGCCTGGTGTGAGACGTGCTGTTTCAGGATAGTACTGGTAGTTCCTGCTGGTAGCGCATGCAACCTCTTGTGGCATGGTGTGCTGAGACACCCGATAGCAGCTTGAACGCAGAGCGACTGCTGGAGGGAGAGGTGTAGGTATCAATGTATGAGCCTGCGTTTTCAAAGGTCGCGACAGTAGACTATGTCAACAGATGGCCCGAAGGTCCGTGTCCCAAGAGATTCAACTGTTGAACTGTGAGCAGTGCGGCTGCTTGTGCAGAGCTGCGTTGGTATTCTCGCTTGGGTTTTGGATATGCATCACATTGTGACTGGCCAACTTGAACCTTCACAACTTTTTCTGCACAGTGGCCTAGACTGTATACAGAAAGGCGCAATGAATGCCTTTGTCTCGCCTGCATGCGTCCCCTAGCAGGCTTTTTCGCTGCCAACCTTTCCGCCCACACGCCGCGTCCTGCGATTGACTCAGACATTGATATGTATTTGTCCGCTGTGCAAGCAAAGTCGGTGGAGAATCTGAGCTAGAAAGGATAGGTAGCAGCGGTGCAGAAGAAGCAAGACTGGACACAGTAGATTGCTGCAGAACTCCTGTTTTGCCCAGCTGGGACCGGACTGCGAGCGGCCCCGCGATGCGCGTGCCGTGCGGCGCGTGGGCACCAAACCTGGGCTTGGGCCTTGTAAGTTAATCTCTGCTACGGAACCCTGAACATCCCTGAATCTTTTGAGGCCTCTCCCAGGCCCTCCGGCTCGAGCTCTCAGCAGTGGCTAAAGCTGTGGCACAACGATGCGGCCTCAGATGTGGACTCATAAATGATTGTTGCTGTTAGAACCAAGAAGCACAGCAGATCTTGCCCGAAAGAGAATCTGGTTTCCATGCCAGGTCGAAGCCCAGAGGCCTCAGCAGTGGAAGCTTTGTTTTCAGGATGCACATGCCTTGTGTCAGAAAGGTCCAAGTCCATAGGGCCAACAGCTTTGCAGCAGGTGAGTCGCAGCTTGCACATCTCTTATTTGGCTCAAGCTCTGCAAGACAAGCAGGAGGCTCACTACCCAACCAAGAAAGCTCTCCACAAAGGCAGCCAGTTTCTATGGAAGCGCTTTTTTTGCTCCACGCAGCCATGTAGCTTTGCTGAAGCCTTGATCCTCTTCGGCTGACACCCTCGAGGCAGTGGTTGGCAGAGGCACCTTCATTCCGCAGACATGCTTATGGCAGGCTTCATGGCGGCCCATGCCTTCCTACAGCAGTCGTCTGTGCCTCTGGTGCTCTGTACTTTCGTGGTGTGTTACATCTGCCTTGGATGCATGAAGTGAGCTTTCTCTGCCTTTCAGAGCCTGCGCTTTTGAGGTGGCCGGGCCCAGCTTCAGATGACGTGAATGCCCACGGCTTAGGAGGGTGTTGCAAGGGCAAGGGCATCTTCGCTGGACGGAGCCCTAGTACGGTATGCATCTGTGCTGGGAGACCTTTCGTATTGAAATGCCATGTAGGGTCAAAGTGTTTTCTTCTGAAGCAGGACATTCGACCTGCGATTTGCTTCTCATTCTGCACCTGGCGTTCAGGTTAGTGGCGCTGACTACAGCAGCGGACCCAGCAATTGCTATGCTTGTATCATGCAGCCCGAGCAAGCCGTGCAAAAGCCAAGAGAGTTATGTAGTTATGTGGATCAGCGAGCAAGGGTCATGGATCACACAGCATGGGGTCCCATTCAGAATTCACGACATAAAAAAGGGCTCTGAGGGACTAGAAAAAGGTCCGTCCCCTCCCGAATAGGATTCAATAGCGCTTGGTTTGTGTCCTGGTCCGGCCTTTCAGCATCCTGACCCAGACAGCCTTTGTGAGTGATCCAGGACGTCCGTTGTGTCTGCTCCGGAGTCACCCAATCTGTGCCACAGAGAACATCAAAAGCATTGACGTGATGACGTGCCCAGGTGGGTCAGGCGCCACTGTCCACAGCAACTTCTATCATGCCTCAGCCTTGGCACGGTACAGGCCAAAGGTGGTACTCGTGCCAAACAAGTGCTAGTAGGCTAGGCAGATCATGCCGAAGCCTTTGTCTCAGGTGTCGCTGGATGGTGTCATTCTAGAGGTGCTTCTAGCAGCAACCTCAGCAACATTACCTGTAAAGACATCTTCATGCTTCTGAAGACCTTTGAGAAGACAGTGGGAAGAAGGGCCCGTGCATACTGTTGAGGCTGTGGCAATTGTCTCTCTCTGTGTGGGGGCGATCTGCGTTCGAAGAGGCCCAACTGACGGAATTCCTCCAGCAACCTTGTCAAATCCACTGTAAGGCTGGGTTGGCCCCCCACGTCTTCAGCCAGGGGACCTGCGAGCCCTGACCACTTTCTCAGAAGCCTACCGTACCTTGACAAATTTTCGTAGCCAAAGCTTTCCAAGCACTTCCTCAGAGTGTCGCTTGAGGCATAGCAGACCTGAAGCTCGATGCAGATGTGCAGCTTGGGACAGCACCAGCAGCTGAGAAGGTGGATTTGGGTCAGATTTGGCTAGAATTGATTTGATTTCCTGAGGCTGAGCCATGAAGTGGAAACTTGGTGCCTCATTGGCCAGCGCATCTGTGCAACATCCCCGATCGTAAATTGGTCGGAGATGTTTTCCGGCTTCCTGGCTGAGCCTGAGAACCTGAGTGAAGCTGAGCCACGAGCCCACGAGCCGTGAGAGAGTTGGCGGTGCTCCGCGATGGCCCTCAGGTGCTCCGAGAGGATTCTTGGTGGACCTCGCCAAGGCATGGGAAAGCATGGCAGATCTACTAATACTCTATGTACCTCTCGCTCACTTTCGGCACGGTGTGAGCCATGCACCATGTTCGTTTCAGGGAATTGACACGGAGCTACTTGCCTTTCAACACAGAGTATGGCCGCTCGCCTCAATTCAGTTGCTTCCAAGACTTTCGCAAGATCCCACAACCACTGAACGTCGCTGTCCCGAACATGGCAAGCCCTGGCACAAGACCACAGGCTCAGACAGACACTCAGTGGAGAGCATGAGAAGCTGCAACTTCCTCAGGTTGAGCAAAGGCGATTTCACTGCACATTTACCAACAGTCCTGGTTGCTCAAGAGTGGCGGCGATGGGCTATGGAGGAGCCCCCTGTTTTTTTCTGTCAAGCTTTTTGATTGTTGAAGGGGCTAGGTGCTGCTGCTTGTGGTCCTGTGGTTTCTGGCGCCAGAACCGTCTTGGGAAGGATCTCCAGAATGCTGTCACTCCTGACGAAGAGCACAGGGAAGCTGGGCATAGCTGGATCAGTTCCGTCGTAGATTTTTCGACATCCAGATTTGCAGCTGTGAGAGTCAAGTATTGATGCGCAGCAAGCCTTTAGCCTGAATGATCTGAGGAAGCTATTCGACTTCGTGCTTTGGCTGCTATTTTTCTTTGCAATCAGGTTTCAACGGACCCTGAGGGAGCCTAAGGCTCGCCGGCTAGCCGGCATTTGATTGATGATGCCTTCGCAGACTACCTTACGCCTTACGCACTTTCACTCAGTAACCAGCTTCAGCCTTGGGGCCGGCGTTTTCAATTCTGAAAGCTAAGCAAAGCTGGTACATGACCTAAGCCTAAACACCCCAAACAACCCAATTCCAACCCACGACCCTACACCGTAAACGACCCCAAGCCAAACAAACTAAACCACCGTAAACAAAAACATACGCAACAGCAAAGCCTGAGGAAACCCAAAACGAAAACTAACAAGCCCAAAACGAACCCAAACTAAAGAGTTCTAGCCCAAATACGAAGCAAGCCTTAACCCTAAATCCTAACCGACCCCAAATTGAGAACCCCAGAAGACCACCCTAAAAAAAGCTTGTACAGCCCCAGACCTTAAATGCTCAAGAAAACAAATCCCGAACCCTGACCCAATGCCCTAAAGTTTCAGAAAGCCCTGACCATGAAGCGAAAGCTGAAGCAATCAAAAACCCTGAACAGCACCAAACCTTAAAGCTGAAACAAACCCCAATCCTAGACAAAACAAACTGAGCAAACTGAAAACATCCGAAAACCTGAACCCTCCAAAACCCAAACCCGAAAACTTCACCATCAAGCAAAAAACCAAACCCTAAATAACCCCACGCCCTCAATTTCTAGAAAGCCCTAACCCTAAAGCTTTGACAACCCGAAACCAAAACAACCAAACAATTAACCCTAAGCAGGTTGAAGCAAGGAATGGCAAAGTCCAAAGTTGGATCCCCGAGAAAACAAGGTCTAAACCCTGAACAATCCCAATGCCTAAATCCTGATGAATCCCAAACCCTGCCATACATCCTAAAGAACCCTAAGCCCTGAACCCCAGCAAGTTAGAAGATTCCCCACCCTGCGCACCTGGAGTTTATCTCGTTATGCTAGCAAGGGGTGACGAGTATGCAGCGGTAGGCATTTATCCTCCAAACTTTGCGAGGTGCGAGGGGCAATTCTTCAATCAATTGATTCCGAGCCGCTAGACCAATCCGCCAGAACCTCACGGCCCAAACCCTAACCAACCCCTCATCCAAGCCCTTAACTTTAAACAAGCCCAAAACCCTGAACCCCAAACAGCACCCGAACCCTAAACCCCAAAGCACTAGGGCCAGTCCTCAAGTGATTGAATTTGGCTTGTCTGAGCTAATTCGGGCTTAGGTGTCCAAGTGATTTTGGTACAGAACGGGATGACATCTTCATTAGCAGCCTGTCAGATTCACGTTCCCAGTTTCCCAGGCATCAAGTGGATCGATGATATCCGCGATCTCTCTCTACTGGGCAACGCGCAGTTACGCGAGACTCAGATCCTTGAAGCATGCATCTAGCTTGTGTCAAGTGAAATGAAGAATTTTAGTACAAGCGCATGCTCGCCGATGTCCTGGAAAGCATCCAAGGTGTTGGGATGACACCGACAGTCTCTCTCTGCTGATCACGCTTCCTTGGCTGCAGCACGAGTCAAGCCTTGACACGGGCATGCAGCCACCTTACCAAAAATGTGCATGTATATGAATGCATACATTTGCACATGCCTAGACCCTAGAACGAACACAATTTGATGTGTTAAGCCTCTAACAGGGGGCGTGGCGGGTCTTTGTATATTCTCATTTGTGATGGATCTGGATGCCGGTTTCGCACGCAGGCCAAGATGAGCTGAATGCAGACCTTTGTGCCAAGGTTCAGAGAACGCATCCTGCCGGAATTGACTCTCGGCCTTCCAGCACTCAAGGGAGACTAACTTCATGGATCGCATGTGACGTTAAGGTGGAAGCAGCATTTGGTGGACTAACTTGATTCTTCATCTTGGCATGATCACAAGCACGTTTGCAAGTCTGGACAATGCTTGATACTGCTTGATGCTGCATATGTCATGCCTTTTTCTGGCTGAGGAGAAAGTACTACAGCAACTGGTCAGTGTTCGAGATGATGCAGTCATTTTCGGCAGGGGCTGGCGATGCAAAGCCCTGAGAAGATCAGCTGTCAGTGCAAACCTTGGTGCCAGTGTTGAAAAGGGTAGTAATGTACTTGCATGAGTCTGAGGTTGTAGCCTACTTTACGCAGACGCTGCGGAACACCATGAGATTTCTGGAGAAAATATTCTGCACTTACGAGCTGCGGCTGAATAATTTGTAGCTGGCTCGCAGATAATCGGGGTTTGACAACAATTCCAGTGTCTTCTGCAATGTCATGCAGGCAGGGGAAGTCAGAAGATCAGAAGCACTTGCCTCTCGTGCTGCAGAGTTCTTCCGGTTCTGCGACTCCTGCCAGTCTTCGACTGTGTGTTATCCTCAAGCTAGAGACTCAGGGTAGACCGGACCGTGCTCGAGTTCTACGAGTATTCCGGCTTGTTCCACAGCAGCTTTCCGGAGAACTTTCGCAGCAAATTCTTCGAGCCGGAGCGAAATGTCTTGTGCTCACTACATCTTAAGCCTTGAAGAGCCAAGCCGAAGAGGAAGCCAAACCGAAACCCGCCTTCCGCCTTGCTTGTGCCTTTGTGCCTTTGTGCAGGAGCAGCTTAAAAAGCTGGAGAAGGAGGTGACATCTGGGGGCCATGAAGCTTAAACCGTGCCTAAAGAAGTCACGGCAATTGTCTGCCTTTGTATGATGTTAGCTGTTAATTGGGCCATGCTGTTCTCCCCGAGGGATGTGACACATCGCAGAACGCGCATGACATCTGATGCTGCGCCTCCCACATGTCTTCAAGTCCCACATCCAACTGTCCTAGTCTGGATGCCAAGTTTTCGGAGGTGGCCGATGCTGCAGCCTCGCCTCCCTCCACTTTCCAAACAGCTGCTCGGACATTCCTTTTGCACATTTGAACGTGGTTGTTCACACGCGTTGTCATAGGCACACCATTTAAAGTGTTAAAGTTACGCCCGTGTCTCAGGTGCGGAAGCACCCGGAGGCGAGCATTTTGGCCTTCTTCGGATGTCAAGTCTCAGCATCTGAGTATGGATGGTAGTCCTAAGCTCACTTGATAGACTGCTCGAACGTTGATCTGCATCTGCTGTCGTATTGTCACGCCAAGACTGTCTCCAGGAAATGGCAGAGGTAGAGAAGGAGCAGGTCAGCGCAATGCAAAAGGAGTACCTCTCCTGGCAGCAGCTCGGTTAAGACGAAAGTCTTGTACTGGTACAGATCACGTGAACAAAAAATAGTGGTCGCCCTTTGCAGGTTTGGTCTCAAGGGCGGTGAGGACGAGTTCCTGGACATGCTGCGGCATTGCAGTCCGACATTTGTTGGCCATTGTAAAGCTGCAGGATCATTGCAAGTACCATCAGTGCAGGTACTCTGTTCTTACATGTAATCCTGGTTCACAATCAGGGAGTGCTTGGACAAGTGATACAGCATCAGCTACAAGTTGAGGGCAAAGGTATGCTGCACGAAGTGTGTGATGCAACTTAGATGTGATCCTGGTGCGGCACTGCTACGTGCTGCTGGACCTCATCCTGCTTTTGACAAGCATTCAAAGCTTCGCAAGCTTCTTGGCATTAATTGTTTGCAGCGTCGCGAGATTCAGTCTCTCCACAGCTGCTGCCAGGCTGCAAGGGTTGAAGGGATTTGACTGTGTTCCAAGTATCTCAGGACTTGGTGGCACAAATCTTCTTACCAATCTTGTCCTGGGCTTAGCATGCCGCCCTTAGCATCTCTATGTCCCGTCTCGCACATCCTAGCATCAGGTCAGCAAGACTCATGGCCAAAGTGTCATGGCCTTTGCCAAAAGCGAGGCCTGGAGCTCAGCAAGTGATGCGAAAGCAAGAAGATCTATCAAAGATTCTGCTGCGCAATGCTGACCAAAGCCATTAGGTAACGGAAGTCAAGCAAAATCTCGTCCAGATTGCTGACATTGCTCAAGGCCAGTAGGGGAGACTAAATCAGAAGTTTGATTGTCTCGCAGTTCTGTGTGGTTTGGGTCGCTGAGAACCATCGAGAACCAGAGCGTTTTTCCTTGCCCAACTCTTCAAGCACCCCTGAAGGTGGGTGGTCTAACTTTCGAAGACAAAGGAGGGACAGTCTCTCGTCAGCTCTGGAAACATCCAATCGCCAGCTCTAGTGCACGAAGATTGGCCAGCAAGCCACTTCACAAGTGACAGCAAGAGGCAGGCTGCTACGAGATCTAGAGACAAGCTGAGGCCCATGGTCAAACAAGAGCCTCTTGCCTGACAAGGATGAAGAAAGGATTGTATTCGTGGTTGTAGCTGCTTCGTAGCTTTTGGACCCCGAGCTGACCCTGGGCTCAAGTGTCCATGTGAGGTCCCCTGGACAACGTGCGGATGTCCATCAATCTGATGGACCGTGGGTGTCGCAGAAACTGCACCATGCTATGCAGTGCGCAACAAGCTGAGGCCAAGAAGACCTCTTAATAAGTGTCAGACACAGCATAGGATCGGGAGTGCGACTCTCTGAACATGCTCCATCTTGGATTGATCCATATTGATCCAGGTACTCTAGTTTTGTTTGTGTTGTGTTGAACTTTGCAGGACACCGTCGAGCGGACTCACGAGAATGCCATCCACAAAATTGGAGTTCTGCAGCTCAGCTGTCAACATCCTCGACACATTTTGGCACGCCTTTGGGGGTACCGGCGTTGCTCCTTCTATTTAGAGTTGACATGTATCGTCTTACGACATGAGGAATCTGGTCGATCATCAACATTTAGAATGGGCAGGTGAACCAGATTTCGACATCGTTTTGCGAGGGCCGGGCAATTCAGCTAACAGGTTCGCTTGATGCCGATAGTGAGAAAAACGCAAGTTCCACAGTTTTAGGCGTTCATCTTATCACATGGGAGGCCGGGCACCAAAAGTTGAATGGGAAGCCGCTATCTGCTTGTTGCACGCCATCCGGTTGTGGCATGCTCAGGAAAGCTCAAATTGTGAAAGCCCGTGGTGGGGGCGACCCGTCGCGGCTTGGCACGCTCAATCAGCTGATGTCTCTAGTCCTTGCCACACCTTGACTTCATATGCAGTGGTTATACTGGCTTTTACAGCTACTTTACATGCCTAGACAGAGTGCGCATTTCGAATTGTTTGAAAGCCATCGGCGATGTTTCAAAGCCTCATCAAGTCCAAGCTCCGACATCCTACCTTGTTTGACTGTAGTTTCTCGTGGGCAGCCCGCTTGGCGTTTTGAAAGAATGCCAGCTGGAGCCATTCCAGCCAAGCAAGCCATGCACATCATAGCCTTGACAGCAAGAGTACAGCAACACATGTCAAGGGACGATGCGCGAACCCCTGGCAGCACGCGCGGGGGAGGGGGCGGTGCATGCTCCAAAGTATGCCTGCCTTTGCACTGAAGGAGAGAGCTCGAGGCAGAAATGCAGCAGCTTGGCACTTTCAGGTTTATGTGAGTTTTAGAGGTACAGAGCAAGTTCAGCTATGTGAAGTTGTAGGATCGAGATACCGACCAACCTGTGAAAAGAATCAGAGAATATGTTGGCAGCAGGTACCGTAGGAGGGTTTTCCTCCTTAACATGCCGCGGGTTGAAATTGGACACGCTTCGATGGTTAATGCTGCGCACTTGCTGGTGTCGAAGCTGTGCCCCGCGACTGCAGTAAACTGCTTGACCTCCGACGAGCAATAGGATTACTTCAATGCTGTCCTGCTTCCCAGCACACGAAAATCCCGGATTGCCAGCTACACATGTGAGCACAAGAAGCACCACTTGTACATATTTGTACACACGTTTGCAAACCGTCCATGGAAGTGATGCCTGAGCGAATGGAAGCAGTTCTTAACAAGGTGGTAACAATAAGGTGGTAATGTCTTTGGACGGGGGGAGTGCGCACAAACATCTTCAAGATTTCGGAGCTACTTGGGACTGGATGGCGCATTGTTATTTGCAGGCGCTAGTGCATCTGTCTCAGCACTCGAGCTCGCAGGGAGGCTCATGGCCAGGACGCGCATCGGTACTTACCACCTCCATGGGCTTACCCACCGATCACACAGTAGATATGCTCCTCTTCACGATTTTGCCGTGACCTGCATTGTTGCCTTTGCCTATTTGATTCGAAGACATTCTGGAGCAGTAAAAGGATTCCACAATGGCGGCTCTGAAGTGGTGTTGTTGCATGATACAGCCATGACACGCATGACCAGCATTTCAAAGAGGTTCCTCCCCACCAACCCCACTTGGGAATCCCCCTTTCGTTGGGGCTGTCCAGCCAAAAAGACAACCTGCGGGGGAGTCAATCGCGCGCCCACCTCGGACAATGCGGCAGGGTTGTGGGTGGTCAGTAAAGAGTGTTTCAAACTCCCTGAGGCTGGACCAGCCTCGGCGAATCAATGTGGCAAACCCTCAACAACACCAAACCCTACCGCTACACATCCCCAAGCCCACAAACCCTAAAGATCCCAAAGCCTAAACGCCAAACAACCCCAAACCCCAGTCCGTGATTGTAAACCTAAGCACTAAACAGCCCCGTGCCCTACACAATCCAGAGCCCTAAACAACCCTGAACTCCGAATCGCCCTGATCCACCGTGCATACCAAACCTCCAACTGTAGCCACGAGACAGTCCTACGCCCTGAGCAACCCCATATCCAAAACCCTAATACGCACCAGGCACAAACCTTAAACAGCGCCAAACCCTGAACCTACGCATCCCCAAGCCCTAAACCCTAAACAAATTACGTAACAAACCCAAAGGGTAATCCTGCCAAAATTTAAACAAAGCGAACGCCTAAACACCAAACAAGCCCAAAGCCTAGCGCGTGATTGAAACCCTGAACCCTAAACGAGGTAACCCTCGACATAATGACCCTGCGGGCTTTGGCGAGCGCTACAGCTCTGAAACCTGAAAACCTGAGATTTCAGGTGCAACAGATGTTAATGTAGGCTGAAAAATCAGTGCATTTGTCAGGGTTTCGTGTGCGTTGTATCAAAAAACACTACGCCCACAGGAATGTTTTGAGCCTAGCGTGGGTTGTTAATGAAGTGCTCTCTTTTTCAGCGCTTGTTCTCGTTCTTGCTTTTGGCCAGGCTTGAGAGCCCCTGCCACAGCCACTAAACATACCGGTGGGTGCAGTGTTCTTTCTGATGCGCGCGCGAAACCCTGACCGGAGCGCTGAAATTTCAGCCTACATTGGTGTCTGCTACGCCTGAACTCCCACGTTTTTCAAATTCCGGTCGG